CAACAGGTTACTTAGCACTTGAAGGCAAAAACGCTTTGGAGCAAAACAGAGTCAGTGTGACTAACACGTCTTTTTCATAAATGCTCAAGATAATTAATTTGACCCTATATAATATTCTATTTAAATTATATTTGTGGGGCGGTAACAAATTTTAAAAAAATAATTCTCAATTACAGAAAGTAATTTATGAACACATTTATCTTCGAGTCATAGAGATAGGCTGCACTTCTGACTGTCGTCTCCAAACAATGCCCTAGATATTACCACTCTCAGGTTTTTGTGGTGAATTATTCCAGATCGTAAACAGTCTTAAACACCTGTGTATCCACGTAAAATGTACAGTATGATTTGGCCGCTTCTTAGGGACCAAGACTTATCCGCTACCGTCTACCGCGCCTCCTTCCCCTTTGCCCCCTGTCCTGGGGACGCAGGAGCAAACTCGACACACACCCATCCCGGGTGACAGGCAGACCATCAGCAACCTTAGAGAAGGTGTGCGACCTGAGGGGTGAGAAGAGAGCAGAGAGGAGGGAGCGAGCGTTCTGGAAGCTGCGGGTGCCCGGAAGTCCGAAGACGGGAGGGAGCGGCCTGGCAGCCTCGGCTGGGGGTTTACCGAAACGGCTTATGACGACTATTCTCAGACTGCCCTCGCTCAAGTCCTGAGCTGGAAGCCAGTGTCACCTTGACTCCGTCTCCAGGACTGTCACCCAGAACTCCTTCCCGCCCCGGGGCTGCCTGGGGACGGCCGGAGCGGCGGCTGGGTCGCGACGGATTGGAGTGAAACTGCCCCGAGAATCATTGCTTGATTCCAGCTCTGCCTCTCCGTCTTCTCTTTCTCCTCTTGCTGTCCCTTCTCTCCTTCTCCTCCTTTTCCCCCCAAGATGCAGTTAGGAAGGGGAGTCCAAAAGCACTGTGCTATGTGGGGGTCACTGGCTGACGGTCTGGGTAAGAACGACTGGGATCGGAACCGACCTGCCACGGGCCGCTGTCCCTGTGGCTCTCCTTCACCTGCCAGTGAATGACCAGCGTAAGAAGACACGGACCACAATCTGCTCAGAGTCGTCAAGAGATCCGTACGCGCCTTTGATCAAAGCTCACGCTGCGACGCAGAACCTTTGCCTTTCAAGTTGCGTCATCTGAATAGAAGCGCTTCAGATGGTTACTTTAAAAGATACAGATGCAGTCAAACGCCGTGGAAAGACCGCAGCCCAGCAAGACGCAGATGCGGGCAGATGCGGGTCTCGGCAGAACGGCCCTTCCGCTGAAACCAAGCGTTACCCACACCTGGTCCCTTGATCAGCACGCCCATCTGCAGGGCTCCATCGCCTCCTATCTCAAACGAGGTCATTCCCGTTCACCCAGCCGACTTTCCTTTCTCCGCGTACCCTTGTTATTAGGTTTGAATCAAAGAAGGCCAAAGCTGTGAATAGTTGTAACGCGTTCTGTAGATGAGAGGAATCATCATGCATAAAATATTAACATTTCCAGGGCCTCCCACACTGACTGCAGACCCACAACTCCGCGGAGAATCTATCAGTAAACAAACCCAACAGCACTGAACGGGGCAGGTCTCTCCCCGCCTCTGAAACAGAAGGAGGCGCGTTGCTACAATGTAGGAAAGTGGGAGAAGATGGGGCTCGGACCCCCTGCTGACGCCTCCAAGGCTTCCCTGCGCAGAGTCTGATCTATGTAAAGGAGAGCGGAAGCGCCCACTACCAACACCTCCAAGACCCATCAAAGCGGCAGTAAGAGCCTCATCGTATTTTTAGCGAAGAGAATTGAATTTCTAGCTGATGCTCCGCGCAGTTTCCCACAGTAAAGATGGCTCCGATCCCTGCTGGCTCCTAGCGCTGCTTTTAAAAATTTGGGCACGAGGGACTATTAATTCCCGCTAACCATTCAGACCCAAGGATGAACACTGACTGCTTAATAGAAACACACATCGTGATTCTCGGTAATTTGGGAATCGTGCTCCAAAACGACAGCCATCTGTTAGGACCTCACTGCGGCTTCCACGGCTCTGTGGTCGATGCGTCCTGGTTCACCGCTGGGAGGAGAGTCAGAGCCACTCCTCCAGCAGTGAAGGACACGTTTCAGACACACGCTTTGCTTTTGAAACTGGCGAGTCTGACTTTCCAGGTCAGGAATAAATGATGTTTTTTTTTTTTTAAAGATTTTTTTTTAATTTATTTATTTGACAGAGATCACAAGTAGGCAGAGAGGCAGGCAGAGAGAGAGGGGAAGGGAAGCAGGCTCCCTGCTTAGCAGAGAGCCCAATGTGGGGCTCGATCCCAGGACCCTGAGATCATGACCTGAGCTGAAGGCAGAGGCTTTAACCCACTGAGCCACCCAGGTGCCCCAGGAATAAATGATGTTTTTAAAAAATTCTTCTTCTGGGTCACCTGGGTGGCTCAGTGGGTTAAACACGTGGCTCTGGATTTCGGCTCAGGTCATGAGATCGAGCCCGGCCTGGGGCTCTGCACGGGACATGGAGTCTGTGGAAGATTCTCTGTCCCTCTCCTCTGCCCTTCTTGCTCGCTCTCTCTTTCTAATTAAATAAATTATTTAATTGCAAATTCTTTTGCTCTCTGTCTAGCATAAAAATGTAACATGAGGGGCGCCTGGGTGGCTCAGTGGGTTAAAGCCTCTGCCTTCGGCTCAGGTCATGATCCCAGGGTCCTGGGATTGAGCCCTGCATCGGGCTCTCTGCTCCCCGGGGAGCCTGCTTCCTCCTCTTTCTCTGCCTACTTGTGATCTCTGTCAAATAAATAAATAAAATCTTTAAAAAAAAAGTGTAACATGAACAAGATTTATTTCTAGGAAGTCAAGGATCTGTCTTACCGTAGAAAGTACACGAGAAGTTACGTTTTGGAGAAGCTGAAGAAAGTCGTCTTTCCTACCAACTCACTACAGAACACACAACCCAACACGCAGAGAGTAAAAGGGTTCATGTATTTCTTTTGTCCCATATTTTTAGTCTCCTTTTGGGGAGTGAAGGAGTGGGGAAAACAGACCAGTGCAGTGAAATGGGAACCCGTCCCCGTTTTTTATTTTGATGCACTTCTTCAAAGTTCCAACGTGTTGCAATATATCTCCCCCAGCTGCGATTTCGAGTGTCCCAGCCTACACAGTGGTGCAGAAGGAATGGCTGTCAGGAGGCACCTGTGTGGGACCCCGATCAGAGGACTGATATGTGTTGCACACCGGGCTTACCACCTGCTGGGGGATCAACTCTTCCAGACGCCCTCGCCTTTTTTCCATAACCCATGCCGCCTTTCAGTATTAATAAAGCATATTATCCTTATCTGTGAGTCTTTCTTCTTCTTCTTCTTCTTCTTCTTCTTCTTCTTTTTCTTCTTCTTTTCTGAGAGAGAGAGAATGGGAAGAGGACGAGCAGGAGGGGTGGAGGGAGAGAGAGAATCTCAAGCAGATGCCGAGCTCAGCAGAGCCTGACGCAGGGCTCCATCTCAGGACCCTGACATCACAACCTGAGCCGAAACCAAGAATCAGACCCTTGACCGACCGTGCCACCCAGGCGTCCCTCGGAATATACTTTAAAGGGAAAAAAATACAAGAAAATCTCAGAGTTACGTGTTCAGGAACCACTACTGCCCAAAGACTTAAAAATCCCAGCAGTGATTCAGTCACGATGACGTCTGCTTCCTGGAGCCTGTGTCACCGTTCTGTTTGTGAACCCACCTCTCCTGCCCCCGGCTCCAGAGCGGTGAGCGGACACCGTCCCACGTTAGTGACTCCCCCTCACTCCCTTTCCAATCCAACCTCTGAGTACACGACTCCTACAGACCGCATGTGCCTCCGCCTTCAGACTATTTAAAGCTCGTCCCATTATTAGTTGAAAACAAAGGAAAAGGAAAGAAGATAATAGAGAGAGAGACTGGGTGGCACAGACAGTGGAGGCATCAGTCATCGGTCTGACGTTCCAGGTTCCATGTCCTTTGCCGCAGATGCAGGAAGGGCCAATGCCAGCCCCACGGTCCCCCCCCCCGTGTCAACCTAGAGTGGACGCCGCCACATACAACCAGTGATTCGGAACCATCAGAAGGGAAGCCCGCATCTCTGGCCTCGTTTGTTATCTTATGTTGTCTCTTGGAGATGCCCCACGGCTTTTCAACATGACATTTATGGCTGCTTTTTGGTAATTGTTAATTTTGCCAAAGCGATTGGCCGCCACACTCTCTGCCACGCGGGTGCGTTCTGCTGTTCTGTGGCCGGAGACGTCCCGGGCCTCCTGACGTCTGCGTCTTTCTTCTGTTTCCCATTCCTGAATCGCTAGGACGTTCCCAAATGCTTTCAGAAGTTTTGAACCTCCCATTCTCCACACTCGTCACAGACAACATTCTGATGTTGTTTCAGGTGCTGAACAAAATCAGAACTATCCCCCGCTGTTTCTGGGGGGCCCCCTCAGGCTCTTCTTGTGTCGTGTTAGTTCTTCCTTCTGGAAGGAGGAGCTCTCGCTCCCACGGGCCCCTGGACTCTGCCAACCAAGGGGTCACACGAAAGACTGAATATTTCCAGACACAGACCTTTTGCCATGGAGTGAGGTAGAAGGGACAGTGACCTTTCCCGTGTGTGGCAGCTGAGAAGCAGCTAACAGGGGCCCCCCAGCCCTGGACGAGCCAGGGAGTGGGTCTGAAGAAGGCAGAATCCAGGCGAGGGGCCAAGAAACCAACGCCCTCGTCTGCTCTCCGCTCACTCCCTTAGAAAGCCCGAGTGACAAGGGGACTGACACACGGGCCAACAACATGCGGCACGAACTTCTCGTCCGCGCCGTGGAGGGAGCCCGCGGGCCCCCTCGCATGTCCGCCACCACACGCGACAACAGAAAAATCCGAAAGACCCATGTGCTCGCAGGGACCACGCCAGTGGCTCGTCGCAAACGCGTTCCCGTTTTTGCTACGGAGGCTGCTGGCACCCACGGGGACCCAGCTGGTTCATTGGAATCCCGAGCTGCGACGCCAGGTCGCCCGCTGGTCACTCACCTGCCAGCCTTGCAGTTTGCACCGCTGGAGAACGAGGCGACACTTCTCCGCGGCAGACAGCGGCTGCTTCTCCCCCGGGAGCGTATGGGCCAGCGGCTTGTACCTGCGGAAAACAGCAGGGACACGAAAGCCGTGACTGAGTGTGTCAAGCAAATGTTTCTTCCGTCCAGCAGGATCATCTCGGTCACACTGTTTCTTAAAACGTCCCCAAACCCCCCTTGATCCCCCGAGCCCCCAAGTCTCCATCCGCCGTGCGCTGAGCCTCATCCAACCGCGAAATAACCCTCTTCTGCCACGTGAGGATGAGTTTTTAAAATGAGCCAAATACGTGTTTCAATCCTTTCACGCAGGTTTAACACTGTTATGATGGACTGATGGAAACCACTTAACGGAAGAAACTGAAGGAAAGAAAACTCCTAGTTTTCATGTAAATATTTAGAATGCTCTTAAAAATATGCCTTTTAAGAAATCTTAGAATTTCTTATGACCATTTGAAATGAACCTAGAGGTAGTAAGAATCTATAATGTGGATATCAGAACATCTGGAAGTTTTATTCAAGTGGGATCTAGAGTGGCTCTGCCCATTATGTTACCTATTGGGTATTATCAATCCTCTAGAAGGACATTTGTTTGTTTGTTTATTTATTTATTTATTTGTTTAAAGTTGCTCTGAATAACTGACATTCCTGAGCTGAAATCCATGGCAATATAATGGTTTTTTATGGATTTTTTAAATACCCTTCAAAATTCTACCAGCCACTTAAAAAACCGATGTAAAATTTCCCTTGCATGCACGTTATTTAACCTGGCGTGGAGGTAAGCTGTGTTAGAAGATGGAGGAAGAAGAGAAGGAGGAAGAGGAAGATGGGGGAAGGGGGAGGAGGAAGGGGAGGGGAGGCGGAGGAGGAGGGGGAGGGACAGAGAAAAAGAAACAGGCAAGGATTCGTGTAATTGCATTTAGTTGGACTGTGTTTACGATTCCCACGTTGGGCTGCTTTGCGAATTTAATGCCCAAAGGTAAATCACTTAAGTTCTCTGTGACTTTCTGTAAAATGTCTTTGATTTCCATCTGAAGTTTGTTGCAGCAAATTTGGCAATTTCTAAAACGAGTTATTTGCTTCCTTAGAGCAAGGAAGGAAGGAAGTGCATCGCTTCCCTGTTTGTATCCAGTATCCACCGGGCTCCCTCTTAGCAGCCAGGAGAGCCCTGGACCTGTGCCCCCCGACCGCCACCCCACAGTGCTCCCCCTCTAGGGTTCTGTCTGTGTCCGCATGCACGGAGTGCCCAGCACGGGGGGACACCGCCGTAGTCACCGTGGGTCTGGCGTAGAAAGCACTCCGAGAAACACACCTATTGTGAATTTGTGAGTAGCAGACATTTATTTCCTTTTTCCATCCTTAGCGTCAGCGTTGAGCCCTCAGTCTGCTAGTCGACCTGGGCCGACAACGATCCTAATCTCGGTAGCCACACGTCCGATGAAATGCATCAACGTCAGCCACAACCCTTCCTTCTCACACGCGGAATTTTGCTCCTGTATCGGACTCAGGGCACAGGAGGCCGTGAAAAGAGCAGTGAGCAGAGCCTGGACGCGAACGGGAGCGTGCCAGAGGCAAGGACGGGAAAAACTTCGCTCACATTTGGATCACACCAAACGGACTGAAGTGATCTGTGGAATACGGAAGTATTCAGTGATTTTCTTTTCTTTTCTTTTTCTTTTTCTTTTTCTTTTTTTTTTTTAATACGCGGCAAGAATGGGATTTCCTATGCAATAGGCACTGGAGTTGGTGTCTATCTTGTCTACTGGTCTTAGTGTGTGGTCATTGCAGGAGAGATAAGGGTGTCTCCAGGGTAGAAGAGAACAGACACAACGGGTGGAATGGGGCGTGCATGCGCGTGCGTGTGTGCGTGTGCGCGTGTGCGTGTTTGTGTGTGAGGGGCCAGGACTGGGAGTTTTGTGTGCAGAGGGCAGTGGGGTGGGCCCTCCGGAATTGTGGTCATGTGACAGGCACACGTCAGTGAGCAGATACAGATTAGGTGTATAACGGGCCATCTCGGTCTCTTAGCCATCACTGACGCGGTTTAGGCAGGAACCAACAAGCCCCTGGCCCCAGATGGTTCTAGAGCGGAAAGGGAAGGGCTGGGGCATGAGAGACAGGAGAGGTTATCACTCGGCATCAGCAGCACACCAGACCTGCAGAGAAGAGAATTCCAGGTCTCCGACCTTCCAGTGGCTGGGCCTCTGACGGAAAACTCAGCTCAGAATGAAATACAGACTCATTCAAGCGCTCAGGAAAGCCAGCACGTTCCTACCATTTAGCCAGAGTCACACAATGAAATGAAATCACTCAAATTATCTTTTTATTCTCTTACAATTGTCTCATTCTGGAGCTCCGCTCATTATCACGGAGAACTGAACTGACGTAATTCAAGTATCTGAAGACAGTTTGAACAAGTCAGAACAAAGATCTTACACCGGGGGCTTTTTCCCTCACTTTATATTGTTCTTGTGACATCTAAAATGGTATAATTCTGACATTTCAACTGAAAAGACAAACACATCATCCCGAGTGAGGGCCTCTATTTTAGCGTAATTAAAAACATCTTGCTATTTGGAACATGCGTGTCATCTCTGGGTGGCGTCCCAGGTCAATCACTGAGCTAAAACAGGATCTCACAGAAACTCCAACCCAAGAACAAGGGGTTAAGAATGAGCCTGGGACAGTGTGTGGGTGCTGAGTGCAGGTGTGAATGGACGTGGGATTCCGAAGCTTCCATTCCCTACACCCTCTCAGTCTCTGTCATCCTCGACCCACCGAAGAGCTCTGTGTTCAGGCTGGTACCTGCCCGTGTCTGAGACAGATCAGCTGACTCGAAGATGTCAACGTCAAGTCTCCTGAACAGCTCACTGTTGCCTTGTCCTGGTTTGGGTTGGAGGGAATCACTGGGATCTAATTCCATGTCCAGAGCCCGGGTCCCGGGCTCATTCTTTTGGGCTCATTCAATCAATGAGCCAACACGCACAGCAGTACTGGCTGAGCACAAGATACGCACACGGAATGCATCCGATGAGGATCCTTACATCCTGTGATGGAGACGGGAAGACCAGAAACACAGATGAGGAGCCATGTCAGATACAACGAGAGAGACGGAGAAAAATGGGGCAGGAGAGTTCTCACTGAGAGCAGGTATCTGAGCTGTGGGGCCCTCCGGGGAACGGGAACCCCGCCTGAGGGAACAGAAAACCCACAAGCCCTGAGCGGGGTCGTGTGTGCCCGTGTGAGCAATCCCAGGGCAGCGGCTGCAGCTGGAGCAGAGAAGGCCGAGGAAAGGTCCAGGGGCAGATTCACAGGAAGGAGGTGACCTTGCAGGTGACTCTAAGCCCTCGGCTCTGACCCTGAGAGCCCCACTACACAGTGATTTGAGCAGATGGGTCCTACCCTGGGACTCCAGAAGGGTCCCCAGGAGCTGGCGGCCCGGGCGTGGGCATGTACAGCGGACGGACAGCCTGGGGGTCTCTCCAGAGGCCCTTCCCGCAGCCCAGGAGGGAGGCAGCGTTAGCGGGAGGAGCTGGGTGGGTGCAGTCCAAGGCCGGCGGCAAACAGTGGGGTTTCCTGATGGACGGATGTGGATGCGGGAGGGAGGGGAGCGGCGCCTGCGAAGCTGGAGGACAGAAGTGACATTCGTGGAGACGGAGCGCCCCGGAGACAGCGGCTCCTTCAGACTGGGGGGTGGTGGTCAACGCCACGGAGGAGGGCGCAGGAAGAATTCCGCTGGAGCCCCAAGGACGGGGTCACTGAAGTCAGCCAACGCCCCGAGATAGTCTCTGCCTGCCTGTTGCCAGTCGCTCCGTTGGGGCCCCTTTCACCTGTCACCAGCCACTGCCTCGTGGCCAGGACGTTGCCCACCGTCCGGAAGACGTCTCCTCATACTGAGTCCTCGTGGGTCCCTGAGGCCGAAACCGAACGCTGTGTCTGGCTTCCCTTGTGAACGTGTCCGCTGACTTTCAACTTCCCTCCCCCCCCAGACAGCCCATGGCCCCGATGGCCGATATTGGATGAGGCCTAGGGTTGGGTGGCGAGTTCTAGCACAGTTCCGGAAAGCTCTCTCACCTGCAGGCTAGTCATTAAGTACCCTCTGGACCCCAAGGGTTCAAGTACGAAAACTCTCCTCAACCCACACGCACCACCGGGTACAGGGTGACTCGGGAATCATAACAGACATCCCGGTCGTTGGCAAAAATCGTGGGTGGAAGGACCCCGTCGTCCGTGGTGTTCGCTCGGGGTCCCTGCAGTCTGAGCAGGGCAGACAGAAAGCGGAAGAGGGAGGGCAGAGCAATGACTGAGACGTGTGCAGGAGAACCTAAGGGACGTGGTAAGTATTTGTCTTTTCCAAAGTGATCCTTCCTTCTAGCTTCAAGCAGAACTCGGACGTGCTATTTCTCATGAGCTTAGAGACAAAACAGAGCTTACGGGGTGACCACAGAGGCAGGCTAAACAAAGTAGAGACTCAGTTGACTCCTGTAAGAAGCCCACCATGGAAGCGTAGAGTCACTTCCTTAGAAAAATACAAGGTATGTGTATCGAGCTAATGTTTACAAACGAAACACAACAAAACCACTAAAAACAACAACAAACCCCACCTCAGATGCAGTTTCTCTGACATGGTTTGTGTGCTGAATATTGGCTTCGTCTCTTCACACTCGAGCACAATTTTGTTGTGAAAGTTTTGGTCTCTAAACGCCTTAAAATTTAATTCTAGTTAGCAAATATTTATTAAGCACCAATTACGAGCAAGGTACCCTGCCAAGACACGTGCAGCTTACCAGGATGGGCAAAGCAACCCTCTCATTTGACTGCCTATGCTCATGGATGACCTTTATGGCCAAAATTATATCTCAGAAAAGATGTGGTTTTAATTCAAGACCTCATGAAATTTTCTTATAAGGGCCCTATTTTATTTAGTCAGGAACAACAAAATGAGGTTTAGGGAGCACCATTAACCTCATCCCTCAGGGATGGGATGCGGTAATCCACGGAAAGAGAGAGGGGGTGTTGCTGGAGCCCTAGAGGGGAGGTTGGGAGGGGGAGGCAGCCAGGAAGGGCA